TTTTTTTTTTTTTTTTTTTTGGTACCGGGGATTGAACTCAGGACTTTGCACTTGTGAGGCAGGCGGTGGAACCACTGAGCTAAATCCCCGGCCAACACCTATATGCATGTACAAAAACATCAAATTGAACCCTATTAATAAATACAATTAACACATATTAATAAAAAAATTTAAAACAGTTGTTATAGGTCCAGGTACTCAAAACAAATAAATGATGCTCCTGGTTCCTTTATGGGGGGGGCAGGTGCTGTGAAGAGAACAGTGAGACTTTTGAACAGCACCTTTCAGTTTACAATTTGCTCTCATAAAGCCTATAATATCAGAGTTTTGGTCGTCTTCCTTCTGATAAGGAGGACACTAGGGGCAGCCTACACAGCAACAGGTTGGGATGAGATGAGACAGACTAGAGAAGAGAGTGGCTGAAAGCAATAGGTGAGAGAAGCTCTCTCCTGGGAGAAGAGACCATGGAACACAAGCTGCAATAACAGTATGAGGAACTGAGTATGTGGACAATGGTGCAATGCAGACATATAACCACCAACTAGAACAGCCCAGAAGTGGAGGAAACACAGCCCAAATAAAAGCCAGTCTCCAATGCTTATTTGTTTCTGCAATTATTCCATGCTTGCTTGGGAAGAAAATCTATACACCATCTTAAGACTGTACATAGTTGGTTGCTCCTGAGAAGAGAGGAAAATAAGAGGGGGAAAATAACCCTAAACATTTTGAGGGCTTTTTCCTAAAATATACATGGAGCAAAATAAAGAAAAAAAATCTGGTCACTTTGGTTCATAGGAACATATATCACTCTTTGTACTTTTAACAATATGGATCCAAATTTTAATTTAATTTAGATAGTGTCCACCCAGCACATTGATTATGGTTTCTAATACATTCCACAATAAAGGGAGCCAGGCATCCTTGGAGGAATGGTTGATCTAGAGCAAGGGTAGACCAAAATGAATTTGAAGCTTCTTGAGGTGGCAGAAAGTGAGGATGTGCTCAAGACCACAAAATAAGTGTACAAACAAACACAGCAGCCAACTGAAAGAGTTTCCAATGGCCAAAGCTGGAACAATCTGACCAAAAAATAAAGTGGTATCGGATTACAGCCCTAAGTATAGTATAAATGTTCATGCTTCTACACTGATGTAAATGAACAAATGAATAAATAAATAGAGGAGAATATAAATTCCCATATACTAAAAAACCCCTCTGCCCTTCAGGGTGGCGAAATGTAACTCTTTACCTCTTACATGTAGGTAATGATTTCCTGAGTACAGAATGGAAATAGAGAAAAAAGATAGTTATAGCTAAAATAAGAAATTTCACAAATACTACCTCAGCCAGTTAATGACAGATAATATCACAAATCATATTGACAGCATATGTCTTACTTTTCTCATCACTGAGACAAAGTATCTGACACCCAAAGTGAAAGGAGGAAAGGTTTATTTGGCTCACAGTTTGTAGAGGTTTCAGTTCATATTTGGCTGGCTCCAAGACAGGGTGCCATGGCAGAGGAGAAACAGTTCATGGCAAGCAGAAGGCAGAAGGCAGCAAGGCAGCAAGCAGCAAGCAACCACAGGGACCCTTTCTGTCCCTTATATTCTTTCTACTCTACTCACCCTTGGGCAGCACTCACACCCAGGGTGAGCCTTCCCATTATCCACACCCAGAACTATTCCAAACCAATCAGTGGGCTAATTCAGAAATCACACACCCTTGATCCTGGCATCACACACTTAATCCCAGCATCACACATACTACATCCAGCCATCTCTAAAAAACTCCACCTATGATGACATCAGGCTTTGGGAGTGACATCTAGATATATCTAGACATCTAGATACAAGTCATAACAACATATAATTATGATATAATATGATATGAAATGATAAAAATGGTACTTTACCTCTGTGATCTTCTTCACCCAAACCTATAAACTAAGTTTAATCCTGAGAAAACAGACAAACCCCAGTTGGAGGGCATTCCACAAAATAGCTACCTAGTAATTCTCAACACTCCCACAAATCATTAAAAAAAGAAACAAACAAACAAAGAAAGTCTGAGAAACTTCTAAAGCCAAGAAGTATGTACATGAGATGTGATTACTAAATGTGTTATGGCATTCTTGACCAGATCTTGGGATAGAAAAATAACATAAAATAAAAACTAAGGAAATCTGAATGAAACATGGACTTTGGTTAATAGTAAGGGTCAATAATTGTCCATTCATTGTGGCAAATGTATTATATTAATATAAGATGTTAATAATATAGGGATCTAAGTACAAATATAAGGGAACTCTCTGTACAATTTTTGTAACTTCTCCATAAATCTAAACTATTCCAAAATAGAAAGTTTATTAAAATGTGTTAATACTAACTAGGCTCTAGAATTAGCAGAACGGGTACAGAATGAGCTAGAGGGGCATGGTTCTACTCTTCAGATTCAACAGTCTTGAGGGAGAAGAGAAAAGAAGATGATACAGAAAAGCAAATACGTCCTTAAACACAGTATTACAAGTGGAATTATATGCTGTGACTGAGAGCAGCAGAGGTGCTTATCCTGGATAGAGGGGATTGGGGCGTCCCCAGAGAGCACATGCAGAGCTCTTGGAGCAAAATTAAGCACAATGTGTATTGAAGAAAATGTTCAATATGACTTAGTGTGGTACTTAGTGAGAAGAACAGGTTAAAAACAATGATGGCAAGATAAAGAAAAAGTAAGTGTCAGGTCGTGGAAAGCTTTGTAAGGAATATTTGAAATTTGAATCTTATCCTATGAACAATGAGGAACTACTGAAAGTTTTCAAGATGAGATATGACATGGTTAGATTTCTAGTTTAAAAATATCACATGGTTCCTCTTATATGAGAATCCCAAAGCATACATGAGTTAAAGAGCAAAACAAAAAATAGATAATAGGACACAGGGAGATGGATCTTTTGCAAAGGGAAATGGGATGAAGAGATGGCAGGAGAGGGAGGGAGGGAAGGGGAAAGGAATGAAAAAAGAATTAAGATGTGTTATGTATATATACCAACCCCCACAATTAATGTTATCATCATGTACTGCAAACATGCATTAATGAAAATTTATATATAATATATATGTTGGATTGTAGCATAAAGAGTAAATCACATTATGTGAATTATACGTAGGAACATTTAAACTCTTGTTACAATAATAATAAATAAAATAAATTTTGTTACAATAACTGAGACAAAGATAACATCAAGATAGAGCAATGGGAGAGACAGTATGTGAAGGATTTAAGAGATATTTAGAGGGTAGAATTGTTAGGACTTTTGTTAATTGGCTGGTAAAAGAAAATGAGTCAAATGTGCCCATGTTTATGGATGGCAATTGAATAGACAGTGTAACTGTTCATTAAGGTATGTCATTGGAGAGACAGATTTGGACAGTCTGGATAAGCAGGAGAGTTTGGGGACATTTTAAGTTTTCAGGGCCAAGTGGAAGGAGAACAATCC